TATATATATATATATATATATATATATATATATATATATATATATATATATATATATATATAACTTAAATTGCTTATTTACGATCAAGAAAATGTCGTATTTACCTGGGAAAAGAATAACCTGTCCCGAATATATACAAAAGTAAAAAAGCAATACTGTCAACAGATCCAAAAATTTTATTTGGAAATAATGAAACAATTGACAACAAGAACTTTGCTGCAAACAAACAGTTAATGAATACATGGGTGGTGGTTAAATTAAATTGATATCTTATGCTGTTTGAAAGTTTTCACATTTCTGATCATATCTGCAAATCATCATCGCACTTGCATTGATACAAGAATAAACGATGTGAAATACAGGTCGAGAAACAAAACCGTAGCGAGAAGTATAACATAATAAGGCTCGTCTACAAAACTTTGTTTTTAAAGAATTGCGTTGGACTGTATCTAATGAAGAAAAAAAACATGAAATGCAAGTACAATATATTAATCAAGACACGTGATGAAAGTGATAACTTTTCCTAATGCCCTTACATTCAAGCTTTGAATTTTCGTAAGTAAAACACAGTGCAAAATGGTCATCAGCTATAAGAATGTTAGGCAACAAAATATGAACGATAGTCTCGAAAAAAAATTCATACAAAAACGAAACAACGAAAACTTGAGCGCAGTTAGAATGGAATCATCACTTTACATTACATAAAACGATCGGCATAGTCATCGTATTCATCAGATACATAATCGTCATACAGATCCTTCTTTGCTTTAGCCGAAGCAACATTTGACTTACCCATGTTCCTTATCGTCGGTTTCGCTGCTGCGCCCTTTCCTTTTGCTTTCTGAAATGATAACTTAAACGTAGAATTTCATTTTTTTTTTTCAATGGATTCCATTAAATGAATGCTCCATTCATTGTTGTAAGGAAAAAGCGCATAAGAACCACAACAAATTGCAATGTGTAGTAAATTATTGCACTTTACAAAATTTTATGCTTGTCTCTAAGTAACCACCAACATACACTGGAAACACCAATTACAATTTATGTCATTGAAGAAGTCCACATCAACACTACCCAGTCATTTAGTCCAGAACATCTAGCAGTGGAAATCGAAAAAAAATCCGGACCACTTGTTCATCAAACGTTAAGTTAAGCTTTCGGGAGTTTGGTCATCTGAGCACTCATTCAGTAATGCTTTCCAATTTACTTTACAAATATCATGACGAAGAATATATGGTGGATTCGTTGAAGTTTACTAATAAAGCATAAAATCCAGGAATTCAAGAATTTAAATAACCTTTTCAGCTGCCGTCTTTTCATCCGCCATAGTTTTCACAAACGTACTCAAAACTCTTGCTTTGCTTGCATCGGCTGAAAATTTTCCAATACTCGTTATTTTAAAAAAATAAGTAGAAATAAATTTGCTAATTCTACACAGCAAACTTAACAGTTCAGAGAAAAAGTATTGTGCATACGGTAAAAATACCGTAAAAACACGTGATTTACACTGAATTCAGATATTTAGGGTGGATAAAAATCGTAGAAGTCCGAACTAGAAACGGAAATGAAACAGAATGTAGCATTTCATAGCCCTCTAAGAAGTAGTGAGTTGAAATTCCCTCCGAATGATTTTGAATCGTTTGTATCCTTAATCTATTACTTATGAATTCTGCATCGCATTACTTTCCTGTCGTTTCATTAGATATCTCAAATTCTAGTAGTCTTTGGCTTAAAGTTTGTATTTTCCTTTTTCCTATTTTAATTATGTTAATAATTTTACCGCACAGGTCCAAACTCATTACGAAGTAAAATCATAGTTGATTCCATCAACACCCCCAAAATATCTATGTTGAAACTTACTATGTGAAAGAACAACTTTGAGAAGCGAAATAAGCATCTCGGAAAAGTGAGTAGCATTTGATCGCGCTGAAAGCATTTTGCCAATATTCTCACCAAAAGTCCTAAATTCGTCCAGGGAAGTCAACTCCGCGTATGTCAGTGGTTCATCCTCGTCAATACCTGCAAAGTTTTGCAGATATATTCTTAAGGTATCATGAATTTTTCCGTTTATCATTCAAAACCTTTTGTTTTAGTATGATTACTAGAAAAACTTAGAATAATTAATATATTCAATTAAGAATTAGTATATTCAAAGAAGAGTAAAGCACAAAAATAAGATTAAGTATTTCACCCAACAGATATAAACATATGCGAAACATGACAGAGTATAAATAATACGTAAAAGTATAACAACCAAAAAACCATGAAGTAACATAAATACGAAAAACATGCCAAACAAATCCTTTGCAAGCATCAAATCAGCTTTCCTCTGCAACTGCTCCTTTTCCTTTCTAGTCAATTCACGATTTAGGTCAGCACTAAAGGTATTAAGCGGATCATTCGACTTCTTTGATTTCGATGAAGACGCTGCCGATTTGGTTGTATGAAGTAACTGAAAAGCATAATCTTATTTCTCACCTAAAAAAGAAGACCGCTTCTCGAACACTTGATTTTACTAATGAGTTAATAGGGACTCATGAAAATCTCGTCGGAGAACTAAACAGAAATGAAAAAGAACCCTATACTATTATTTTCAAGTTATATTTCTTCTTTGAAATCAATTAACTTGAAGAGAATTTCACTGATTTTAAGGATAAACTGACCATTGCGTCTTTTGAAAAATTTTTACAAGATAAAATGCATTATAGCTTTATAAATTACACCTACTTGATTCGGCTCTGGTTTGTCGCCCGCTTCTTCATCCACTACGGTATGCTTCTTTTCATCCAGTTGTTTGACATCAACTTCGAAATCGTCATCATCTATGATTCAAATTTGTAACGATTGTTCAATCCATATAACCTATACTGTCGACCAAAAAACAATAAAAGACAAGAAACTGGAATTATGTTCATACTCTCGAACTTTTCAAACTAAAATGTGATAAGCCCTCAACATATCAAGCGTAGGATGCAAACTACCACATAAACATTCTCTTCCCATTGAATCAGTTAAGAAAAAAAAAACAAGACTTACCCCAATCACCCATTTTGCTTGTCAAACGCTAATAATTCTACTCCAAAATCACTTGTCACCTTTAATTAAAATTCATTGATAACGATGATAAAAATTCAGTAATAATACCATACGTCGAAGACATCATTTCGATGACTCGCATTTCTTCAACTCTCCTCTCTCTCTCTCTCTAACTACATCTTATACGACTTGTCCGCACAAAAGTGAACTTACAGTGAATGCACAATAGAATATTGCACTTCTAGTGTTATGAAATGAGGCTAAAATTCCTCGGACCTATACTAAAAATTAGACAACACAAATGGAAATGGCTCCCACTAGCTTCCATTAGCTTCCACTCAGCAAAAAATCAAAAATAAAAGAAAAGAGAGAACCTTGCAAAAGTGCTTTAGAAATTTTAAAGGATATATAAACTTTGATGAAGAGAACTATCATGAGAATAACAAAAATATCCGAAAAATACTAGCACAACTATTTATTGAAACACCGATATAACTACCATAGAATACACACGTTTTTTTCAATGATAATATTAAGGGTTGGTTTTAATTTTTTTACAATTCACATACAATAACACATAGTTAATTCGAAATTTAATTGTTATAAAATATGTGCAGATATTGCAGTAACATTAGTTGCAGCTGATTTAATATTCTACAATTTTGCACTTTACAAATAAATATATGTACCAATAAAATATGAAGTTAAAAACAAAAGGAAGGAAATGTGCAACATAAGCATAAACAAGCAATGTCAAGCAATGACGAATTCTTTCCTGCAATTGTAGGATATTGTGTCACTGATTGACCTATGATCAATTGACCTCATGATTTGAATACTGAAGGATTCGGTTAGATCGCAGACAGTGAGATAAAATATTCTACAGTAAACCGAAGTCTTTTTAAAAGAAAGTAAATTATAGAAATAGCAACAGAAAAGCATAAAGAAGTACACATATATTTTAAAAAATAAAACATGTTTCGAAGCACAAATAATCATGACAAAATATTAATGACAAAAGACGATAATCATGACAAGACATGCAGAATTTCACATTTACTAATGGTTTCTTATAAATTTCGTTCAAGAAACGAAAAAAGACGTCACAGAATGCGCTTTAATCTGATATTACTAAATCGTCCCATATCTTTGCAAAATGCGCAACGAACTTTTAGAAAGAGCATTTAGAATTGCCGCAATTTCGATGTAGTTTTCCAGGATGAAGAACAATGAAAAAAAAAAATTTACAAGATATTCGATGAGCAAAAATAATCGTAACATGGCAGATAAAAATAAGGAAAGACTAGATAGGAAGATGAATCGAGTAGAACGTATAAACCTAGAAAATTAATCAATTCAGATTATCTAAAATTCAACCAAAAATAAAGTCAATTTGTTTGCAGTTTAAGATATTTTAACTTACATCAATTTCTCATTACTAGTCTCATATTTATTAATACGAGCCTACTCACACTTAAAAATAATTCGACAAACTCAAATAAATCAATACATCCGATTAGCATCATCTATTTTCAACAATAATTATAGGTCATCAAGCAAAATTTAAGCTGAGGTAAGAATCACACTATGGCTACCTCATTCTAACTCTTTCTTTTGTAAGCTAAATCAGTATCAGCAATAAAATTTCGGTTGTGGGGTAGCTTCTTTTTTTCCAAATTCCAGATGCAGTATGATTATGCAGAACCACAAACATTCCCTAAATCGCTTCCGCAGCATATCAATATAAAGCATATTAATGAATGAATACAAACTAGCCATATCAAGTGAATTCCTGGAATTTCTGCTAACTTGGGTAAGTTTGCAAATTATTTTTAATGGACACAACTGTTTCAAGACTGAATCAGAGAAGAACCGTAGTCTAAGGAAATATCGACCGCATTACTCGGAAATAAAGGAACAAAATATTATGGCAAATAATCCAAGGTTATGAAAAAGAAGGAAACAACAAAAATGGGATTTAAAACCTTGAATTTCAAATAAAACTACTCTAAAAAGTGAATTGGAAATTTTACTTGACTCTTTCATACTTATCATTTCCCTCATAAAAAACCCAATTTCAGCAGTACTTAAGCAAACATCGCATCTTATTACTCGTAATGAACCAAACTTCTGTTATTAAAGAGTCAATCCCGTGTGTCAGCTGCAATATGATTATGCAGGACCACAAACATTTCCTAAAAGAAATTTATGATAACATCCTCAAAACATCTCCGTTTAACCCAAAGCGAAATTTCGAACTTTCAAAGCAACTAAACTTGAATACCTAAAACAAACAAACAAAAAAACTAGAAAAAACAAAAAAAGATGGAAAGATAAAATGATAAAAGGATTAAAAAAAATCAAACCACTAAAACTGAAGACCGCAACAGCAACATCCGTAAATTTTCATGAAAACCTAAAATTCAATTGCGACATTTATTCTCTCTATCCGTATTTTATAAAATGGTTGTCACATGTTGCTGTGTATCAATATCTAGGCATGTACTGATTGCTGGAGCTGAAGAAAGGCGTTGACGCAACAATGGTCGCGCTGTCACTTCATCAGTAGGACTATCTAGAATAAATTCCGAAAGTAATGAGTCCACTTCAGCGAAACCAAAAAATTTCGTTAAGGTCATATTTTCGATAACGACTTGTGCCAAAGCTTTAAGAGCGGGTGCAAGCAGCAAAATATTGCCGTAACGTGTCGGTGCCTCTTCAGGCATATGCGCCAGAATGTAACGATACAGAGCCTTAAGGATTCGATTACGAGTTTCGCGTAATGCCTAAAAAGGAACTAATTTCATTCTTAGCTAACGATATGACATATTTAAATTCATTCGACATCTGAATAACTCTCGTCGTGAATTTTTTTTCGTTGCAGTTGACAGTTTTGGGTTTGAATAATCTTATCTGAAATATCTAAAACTATCTAAAATCAAACTTATTTAAATTATCTAAAATCAAACTTATCTTCGATGTCCCACTTTTCAGAAGTTAAAACCTTGACTACCTAGCGACTGATATTTTGAAAAACCTGGTTTCGATTAATATACCAACCATGTGTCTATTTCGAGCAGCACATTTCTCTCAGCAGTTTTTAAACTTCAAATTACTGACTATATAATAATATAAATTTATATTTATCGGATTTATTCATTATATGAAGTTGCAAAATTTCACTACAATTATAGCGTGCTTTTTTATTACGAATAAGTGGAACATTTCTCAATTCCTTTCAGCATAATCTACACAAGACTAATTGGATTAACATATTCACCAGATACTTAAATCTGCAGTGGCTAGCTCTTCTGCCTTTACATAAAATTTTGAATTTACAATCGTTTGAGTTTGTAACCAACTATACTTATTGACTGTTAGGGTTCTGTATCAACATCGCATTTTATCATTTAATTAATCCATCACTTAGTTTAATTAACATGGATATAAAAAACCGTTTGAGCTGGTTGAGAAAGTCCTTTAGCTTCAGGATGAAGAAAAGCCAAAGCTTTTAGACAAACAAATTCCTCTTCTCTCATTCGCAAATGTCTCATTGGCCAAACTATTTCGTCCATTACACGAGGCATGATGTTGCTTGTTTTGAATGCCGATAAACCTACAAAATGTTCAATTACTAAAATCTATAAAAGATCACAAAAAACTGTACAGGGAATAATAAAAACTGTCATCCAAAATTCTGAACATTCGTAAAATTCTTCTTTAGCATTTGTCCCGCTGCAGTACAGGATTCGCTTTTTTGGTTCATTCACGCCATTTTGCTTGATTATGCGCTTAATCGAACCATCTTTATACGATGTCACATTGATCATTCAAGGCTGCCCGTCACGGAAAGCCCCATCACCGGACCCAGTGAAAGAAAATACAACTGTTCAGTAAACTGTATAAATAAAAAGAAAAACGTTTTTTTAATCGAAAATTTCGTCAAAACGTTTTTTTTAAATCGAAAATTCCAAATTTATTATAATTTCAAATCGAGAATTCGTAAAATCCATTATAAAAATATTTTTGAGCCCACGCTGTTTGCTTCAACAGGATTTCCTAACCCGACAGAAAACATTAAGCATACCAAAGTACCAACGTACCCAACGAAAATTACAACCAGCAGTAGACATATCCACTGCTTTCTCAGACTCACGTGGAATATTGATTAATTAATGGTTAAAAACCAAACCGTCAAATTCGATGGTCTCGTCCCGATTCATATCTGCATTACTGAAAAGGCAAACGCGAGTTGCATCCGGTGAACGAAATGCTGGTACCAGGATCAAATGCTGCGGAGCATAATTTTTAAGCAAAATAACTTTGTCATCCATATTTAAACCTGGGAATGGTTCTAAGCCATTTGCCCAGTCAACCTGGAACAAAAAATCTGGAAATAATTGATTGGTTTCCAATTAGTTTAGACATGAAGTATGGCTTGAAATCCTAAACCTAATCGGAAATATGGCTATAAATAAATAGTTGGGAATTGTTCCAATGAAATTATTTGTAAAAGAATATCGTAGCTAAATATCCTATAACTTCAGCTGATGAATAAAGCGGATGAAGCAACTTAAAACCATGTTTTTCAATTCCATCGAGAAATTAGTCGCTAGCAATTTTATTGAAAGGTTTTTAGAAAACTATCTGCATTGAGATTGATAGTTTAGTACGAACAATAAATCAGTTTGAAACGAACGGAGTTTTACAATATACGGCAAGACCGAAATGAATAACTGAAGCACTTATATTTAAATGCCAATTTTTTCTAGTAATCGTGTAATCGTTTCACTCTTAGTAAAGAAAGTTTGTATATTCATCATTGTGAACAGAAGACAAAAAACAGCTAATTAATCGTTTTTTCAATCACTTTCCTCTTACCAGTGTCTCACCATTAAGAGGTTTTTTTTTTTTTTCTTTTTTTCTTTTTTTTCTCAAAAGAACCAACCATTAATACTAGCGTTGTTCTGGACAATTCATTCAAATCATCAGTTGAACACAACTTATGCCATAGTGAAAAAGCCGTTGGTGCGAAACCACTTTCACCTGCACGATTACTGATTGTTGTGGACGACGAATTGATCACCGAATTTCGGTAATGAGTCGTCATTTCCTGATTGGTTTGTACCTCCATTTGCATTAACGTTTCAATCACATCCAATTTCAAAGTGTCATTGATTAGACAACTATTACCGCACGCTGTTGCAGAACTGGTGTTCTCCGTTCCACTCTTTTCGGTAGTTCGTAATAGCAATGATTCACTACGACGCTTGATGGGACCAATCGAATCGTGTTCAAAATGAATCGCTACAAAAGCAACACAACTTGGAATCTAATATCAAAGTCTTAATTCATTTAACATCTCGTAATAATTAGCCAGCAGAAATCCACCCAGCCAAATTGCTAAACCCGATCTAATTTCATGTCTAGGGTTGAATCGTTTTCCGATTGCAGAACATCCTCAAACTCACCACAATCCTTCATAACATCTTTTACTTTATATCAAAACGTTTAAATTATAATAATAACTCTAATCTGGTCATCAAGTTGCCGAGTATCATTTGATTTCAACCTTCTCGTTTCATCCCAACTCGTACACACTTCTGAAAACGACAATATCGACAAGCGCATCGAAAATTTTTGTCGATTGTGCATGCTTTGTTGAAACGACATGTGAATTTTTGGTTTTTGAGGATTGTTCGCCGGAAAAAACCCTTCAAAAAACAATTTGGTACTATTCTTAACTAATGTTTATTTCAATTAAGACAAAGTATTCCACTCAAAATTTTTTTTTTTTTGCTAAATAGCCCAACTACTAGGAGATCAATAATGAAACTGATTTTTAACCCGCAGTCCTTGACATTAGCTCATTTTGGGTATAACATAGGTGGATGTGATGGTGTAGTTTAACCACACATATTACAACCCAATATTTTGGAAAAAAAGTCTATTTTACCAAATAGTATAAAAATGAAATAATTTGCCAATTGAAATAATAAAAATGAAATAAAATGAAATAATAAATTATGAAATAATTTAAATAGTATAAAAATGAAATAATAAAAATGAAATAATGAAATAATTTAAAAATGAAATAATTTGCCAGTGCCAGTTATAAACTACTAGGAGGAAAAGAGTATAAATTTTAGGAAAATAACTGAAAAAGGAAATGATAAGAACCATACCTTGCATCCATTACACGAAAGCACTCCATAATGTGTCCCAGTTGATTTATCGCCACAAACAGCGCACGGTTGACATTCCGGATTAGCTGAAAAAAGAAAAATACTTCAACAGAAAGATATGATTATCTTTTCTTAATGAAAATAATAACTGAAAAGTCTTTTTTCACCCGTGAAAATAAAAATTCTCAATAAAATGGCATGGGAAGAAAGAAAACGTGAAAAATACTTGAAAAACATTTTGACAAAAAAAATTGATTAATTAGGTTGAATCGAACAACCCTAAACCCTTATTAAAACATGAATGACGATCCAATTCGATAATTTAAGGGAACAAGGTGGTTCCGATGATAAATGATGGACGATGATTAAATTATACTAGTCATTAAATAAATATGAAATAAAATCTTAGAATTCTAACCAAAATCCATCCCAATCTTTGCCGGACGGATTTAAAAAATCCACAAGTGATCTGAACTGCACGCTTAGATGAAATCCTTTATTTGATCACACATATTTGTTCTATTTCCACAATGTAGGTATAACTGTTAACTTGAATAAAATCTGAAAATTAATTGCGTTATTCCACTAGCATTTCCTTGCTTATTTTTGCCGCTAATAACGAACAGGAAACAGAGAAATGAAGATTACGAGTTTAAGTAAAAGTTCAATTCATAATACTAATGGAAAATTTTTATCGAAACTAAAAAAATCTCTGATCCCACTCTCGCTAACAAATGTACTATAAAAAATTCATGTCTAATAATTTATGGAAAAACTACTACAATGTATTAATTGTCACTTCAAATAATCAGTTCCAGTGAACAAATTCTTAAATCAAGTATCGATTGTCGCGTGACGAGAAATGTAAATATTGAATTTTACATGCTGATGTTACGGATCTAGAAAAAGTGGGAAAAGTGAAGAAAGTATGCGCCTAATCAAGAAAAAGAAGTTTAAAAAATTTCAGGATTCTAATTTGTTCTCAAATAATTCTGGAATGATCCACTGACAACTTCTAATAACATTTAGCAAAACGAAAAGCAAAAGAGCCACATTAGTCCTGTAATTTCACGAATATCAACCAAATTGAATTCAGTTCAAGTTTGGAACTAATAAACTTACAACTAACTTATCTTTCAAAACTTCAAATGAACACATTAAATCCTGAGGTTTAATCTTTTCCCGAAAATGTTTCAGAAAAAAAAAACAGCAGAAAAATTTTCAAAAGGATAACAAATAAAGGAAAAGAGTACGCAATTTTAAACAAACAATAAATTACTAAAACTGTCATTTTCAACAGAAAAAAAAACAACCGGTTTAACAGGAAAAAAACCGTTAGATTATAAATGCATAAACTGATCCGGTCAGAAAACAGGAAAGAAAAAAAACCACAAGCCAAATCTAAACACACCAAACACACCACCCCGCACCCATTTCCCGAGAAGGATAGCACAACCACCAATAAGAAGCGCTTAATACCATCACATTCATCCTATATACAACCTGTCCTCTATGCTCTATGCTCCTCGCTATTTCATCGTTTCTTTTACACTCTGAATCTCCTGTCTCACAAACTTTATAAAGTGCATGTTCTCTTGGCTCCAACTAAACGGATCGGTTAGTTTTTTCTTTTTTTTTTCGCAGATGTTTCAGTGTGAGAAGTTCCGGGATTTGTGGTGAAGGGTAAGAGATACAGGGGCAGCATCTTTAAGAAAACGCGGGAGAAATAGAGCTTTTCTACTAAGCATAAGCGGTATCTTTAAGAAAACGCGGGAGAAATAGAGCTTTTCTACTAAGCATAAACGGTATCTTTAAGAAAACGCGGGAGAAATAGAACCCCGTTACCATGTTCAAGCGGTATCTTTAAGAGAACGCGGAAGAAATAGAGCTTTTCTACTAAGCATAAGCGGTATCTTTAAGAGAATGCGGAAGAAATAGTGTCCCACTACCATATTCAAGCAGTACTTTTAAGAGAACGCGGAAGAAATAGAATCTCGTTATCATGTTCAACCGGTACTTTTAAGAGAACGCGGAAGGAATAGAGTCCCATTACCATGTTTAAGCGATACCTTTAAGAGAACGCGGGAGAAATAGAATCCCGTTATCATGTTCAAGCGGTATCTTTAAGAGAGCTTGGGAGGAATAGAATCAGGTTATGATTTCAAGCATTGCCTTTAGAAGAATGGGGAAGAGGAATACAAGTTCATAATCAAGCAAGTTTTAAAAGAGGAAGTACAAATGGTGTACCCTGAAATAAGTGCAATAGAGATGAACAGTTTTAAAATGTTGCTTAATTAATTAAGGATGATCAGTGAAATTTTTTTCGAAGTTATAATTTAACAAGATGATCTCTCAATTATTTGCATATTGAAGTTTTTTTTCCTGTAGAAATAATGTTTTGTTTTTCAATTCGAAAAAATTTTATCTTTATTTTCATCCATTTTAATAATCTTCCTATTCTTAAGACACGTTGACATGATAAAATTGTTCGCGGTTGAATTTTAATTAATTAATGAAATTTCAATTTTCATATTTCAATGAAGCAAACTGCATGATGAAACAAACTGATGATACTTCTGGAATCAGTGTTGCTCCCGAATATCGACAAAAGTAAGTTGTGGAAAAGTAATTTAAAATTGTTAATTATTCCATTTCAAATTTGATTGTTGATATCATTGATTAGCTACCTGAAATAAATTTCCAGTGATTGGTTTAGGAAAAAAAAGAAAGTAAAACATAAATTATTCCCAATCGAATGTTAATACTTGTTTATAATGCTTTGAAATGTCATCATATTCGAGACACGGTGATGCTGAGTACATCTCATGTAAATTACGTAATTTTAGTTCCGGTAATTTAGGTCTCTTCCTACTTCATGAGTTAACTACTTTATGCCCATTTTTGAATGCTTCAAAAAAAAAGAAAGAAAGAAAGTCTCAGTTTAGAGACAAAATAGTTTAGGCTCACGCCCTTTCTAGGGCCATCTGTAAAATATGTCCT